TGTTCATCAGAATCAAACATTGACCAAAGTACAAAAATTTTATTATTTAAAATTATACTAACGAGGTGATGCTCTTAAAGTAGTTCAATCGCTTGAAATAACCGATTTGAACTATGAAATTGCATGGGACCTATTAAAAAAGACATTTCAAAATAAGAGAGTAATTATTAATTGTCATCTAAAATCATTGTTCGAGTTAGAAAATATTCCGAAGAAAAATTCCATTGCTTTTTTTGACACATTAATGAGAGATTATCGTTTTTTAAAAAAATCAGAAGAACCAGTAGAACAATGGGATTCGATTCTAATTTACATATTAGTTTCTAAACTTGATTACTTTAGCAGACGAGAATGGGAAAATCTAGTTAAGAATCGTACCGCTATGCCAAAGTTCAATGAATTCACAGACTTTTTAGACAGCCGATGTCAATTTTTGGAAACTGTACAAAATAATAATTCTTCAAATAGTAATTCTTATATTAGACAAAAACCTAAAAACCCAATTCCACAATTTTCTCATTTGTCAACTAGAGCTAACAAATGTTTTTAATGCCGAAAAAGTCATTGCCTTTATGCATGCGATAAGTTTTTTCATCTTTCTGCAGTTCGAAACCGTATAAAAGAAGTCAAAATATTAAATATTTGCAAGAATTTTCTAAGATCAAGTCATATCTATGATTGTACATACAGGCCAGTGCAAAAAGGCACAATACTTTATTACATATTGATTGTAATTTTTCAATTCAAAAAGAGCCAATTTTAAAGCTCTCTAAAAATCGAAACAAATCAAATGTTCAACACTCGGTTCAACATGTTTCACAAACTTCACTGCCTAGTGTATTCGATTCTCAGCCAAATCAAAGTAATTTTTCTCAAATTAATCACAATGTTTCTCAATTTAACAATGACAATTTTCAAAGTAATAATGCTCATGTTTGTGTTCATGATCAAGATCACAGCTTTGATGTTCAGGGCTTAGTTCAGAGCCAATCTAATGAATTGTTTTCTGCTCATTCTAATATCAATAATCATTCCACTTTTAAATCCAATGATAATGTTCACATTTTGCTGGGTACAGCTAACATTTTTATTGAAGACAATTCATGAAATTTCAAAATGAGTAGGGCCTTGCTTGATGGAGGTACTCCGACCAATTTTATGACTAAAAATTTAGCCAAAAAGCTTCAAGTTGATGCAAATAAAGTTAATTATCCGATTATAGGACTCGGACAAATTCAAACTAAAATCAACGAAGGTATAGACGTTACAATAAATTCACTAAATCATTGTCATTTTTATTAATAGATAAAATTATAGGTCAAATTCCATAAACAACTTTTTCTACAAACGTGTTAAAAATGCAATTTTTAACACCCCCCCGTAGCATTAAAAATGTTACTTTATCGCACTAGTGCCATAAGGTCTTTATAGCACTAGTGTTAAAAATGAAACATCAAATTTTGAGAGCGAACGTCAAAAAAAGTTTGTATTTCTAGTTATTTACATTAACATTAATGGTAAAATTTGAACAACTGAGGTAGCCCGATTGACCGCCTCTTATGTGAATTGCAGAATTCGCTTCCCTCATTCTGCAAACTTTCACATGCGTGCCTTAAAAATGTACTTTTAACACTTACATCATAAATAACTATTATCTATCAATGCTTCTAAATTAAATATTCCAAAAAATATTGTATTAGCAGATCAGCAATTTCATTTACCTCAAGATGTAGACATTTTACTAGGGGCTTCAGTATTTTATGAACTCTTGACAAGGAAACAAATAAATATAGGAAAAAATATGCGAATTCTCACAGAAACAGCTCTTGATTGGATAATCGCAGGACCTTTGCAGGTCAATTCTTTTAAACCAAATTCAAACATCCCAAACTCTAAATGCTTCATGATAGTTACCAGTCCTAACAATGCACAAGTTCAGTCCTTATTAAGAAAGTTTTGGGAGATTGAAAATGTTCAGATCAGTACGACAATTTTAAGTAAAGAAGAGCAATTTTGCGAAAATCATTTTCTAAGTACACATACTAGAAATCTAACAGGGCGTTTTGAATTATATCAATTTAAATGATAATTTTGAAACGGCAAAGAAGCGTTTTCTACATGTTGAACAGAAATTGATTTAAAATCCAAATTTTGGTATATTATATAAACAATTCATGTTAGAATATGAAGCCTAGCTAGTTGCAGGGTGTCCCAAATTCGAGGGCCAGCATTCGGATATCGGTAACCGTTAGAGATACGAGAGTGGTTAAATTAGACAAAAGTTGCGCATTTTGATGCTTAACAAAATGCTGTTTTAAAATTTCAGAAATTCCCAATACTTCCGGAAATATCCGGAAAGTTCCGGAAGTTGCGATTCTGGTTTTTACTTTTTTCAGGCTTCATTTTAAGAGATCGAGAAAAATCAAGATAACTTTCTTGAAGCAATTCCTGACATAAATTTAAATATTTTCAATCACAAAGCCTGAACGCTAAGAATGCTCCCCACACTGTATATTTTAAACTCTTTCTGGAAATATCGGGTAATGACTCAACTTTAAATATCAAAAGGTTATTCGAGGAAATAGAAATTGGTTGATCTGAGGCTCTAATTCAACGGAAAAACCCACAAATCTTTAGCAAATACTGATCAGCGACAAGACTAAGCTCAAAAACAATCAAATTCAAATCCAACCAGGTAGAGGCGTGATTACATAATTAACGTAAAAACCTGGCAGCCGCTCTGAGAATGCTTAGAGTGAAGCGGAACACACACGTGCGCTCCCGAAAGTTTATCAGAATGACATGAGTGGAGGGATGCCAATAAACTGATTAAATCCAGCTCAACCTAATTTCCTCGGTAATAGGAGAGTTGGAACAAACAGTGCCACAAAACTTCAATCTGGCCTTTCTTGTTGGTGCTGTATGTGAATTATCCGCCGTCTGCCTAGCAAGTGCTCCGGTCGTCTGTCATTATCCCTGGCGATACGTTCATCATTAAGGCGAGGCCGCTCCAGAGATGCTCATGTATCTGCTTTTTTTAATGAGAAGGGAGCCTACTCAAAGGCTTTTCAACATTCACCTCCTAAAATGTTGAGGTTGTTGAACGGTTCAGATAATCTAGATTTGCTAAAGAAAAACACATGTGTACACTATGTGCGCATATTTAAAGTGGAACTTCTAACTCTAGAGCTAGATTAAATTTAAATGCTATTTAACTGTATATGATTCGCACTCCCAGAGCGCCTTAAGAAGTTTCACGTCAAAAGGTTTCAATCAATTTGTTTTTAATCTGTTGCTGTATTGTCATTTTGATTGGCTTTTGAATTTGTTTGTATACTGTGCGACTATGCTTGTAACATGTTGGAACCGTATGGTTCTGTGTACAGGGTGGGCCAATTTGGACACTTTTAATAGGAAATATCAATTTCTGAGCGAGATACAAAAAAATGAACCCCCCCCCCACTCTGATGCTCAAATTTCATGAAATTTTGATTGGTGCAAACCGCATTTTGATATCTTCAACCGTTTAGCCGCTAGAGGGCGATTTTCGATTTTGAGCAATAATGTGAAACCATCATAACTTTTTTGTTTATGAAAATTATTGATTTCCGTAAAAACTTCCTGGAAGCACTTTTTCAAGCAGAATTCAGTGACGTTCTCAGTTTTTTTCTAGTTGGTCCCAACTTCGAGATATTGACGAAAGTCTGGTTTTTTTCAATAGGACACCCTATATATTAATAGCTCATTAGAAAGCTATGCTTTTTCTGATTTCAATGATATAAAGTTCGATGGGTTTATCTCTAACAGTTTTCGAGAAAAATAGTTATTTTCCTAACAAGTGCGCAAAGTGTTACTTTTCCGCACGCAAATACAGTTATACGAACGACGCGAAGCGGAGTTCGGATAAGTGTTTGCGTGCGGAAAAGACACTTTGCGCACGTGTTAGGAACAAAATTTTTCCTACGAGCTTCATATCAGGTAGGTAACAACAAAAATTAAAAAAAAAAAACGATAATTTGTTCAATTATTTTTAATTAACTTGAAGCGAACCTGCGCATTTATCAAAAAATTACGTAACAAAAAAAAAATAACAGAAAATCCTCGTCAGAGCTGTTCATCTTAAAGCGTTTAAATTTGATGAGAAAGTTTATAGATTTTTGCATATAAATAGAGAACAAATTCTTAGAAACAAATCTGACCATGTGTCAAAGTTAATTATATTCGGTGTTGATGTGTGATGATGATGTTGGCTGATATAGAAACAGAGGAAAAATTTGTCATCATGTGTCAAAGTCGACAGGTTCACATATTGTTGCTTGACAATTATTTTTATCGAACTTTTTATCATTGAAATTAGAAAAACCAGAGCTTTCTAGTGAGCTATTAATATAAGGGTATCCCATTGAAAAAAAACAAACTTTGGTCAATATCTCGGAGTTGGGACAAACTAGAAAAAAACTGAGAACATCACTGAATTCTGCTTGAAAAAGTGCTTTTAGAAAGTTTTCAGGGAAATCAATAATTTTCATAAACAAAAAAGTTATGATGGTTTTACATTATTGCTCAAAATCGAAAATCGCGCTCTAGCGGCTAAACGGTTGAAGATATCAAAATGCAGTTTGCACCAATCGAAATTTCATGAAATTTGAGCCTTAGAGTGGAGGGTTCATTTTTTTGTATCTCGCTCAGAAATTGATGTTTCCTATTAAAAGTCTCCAAATTGGCCCACCTCTCTAGTCTGAATTCAGGAACTTTAGAAATAATCAGTTCTATTTTTAGAATAGTATTTAAAGCTGAAGTAAAGATCGATTGTTAAAGGGTTAGGATTTGATTAAGGATTAAAGAACACGCAAAAAGTGGTATACATGAAACTGATTTTAAAATATTTATCTGTTTTTCTGACACTCATAATGGAATTCACTAATAACATTTTGGCTACCTTACCTACACTACACTATTTAGTTCAATTCAAATAACTCGATATAAACTTATAAACTTACTTTGTATTGAAAATCGTTGACCTCATCTTCGTCGTGTACTGTCACTGTTAAAATAGGCATTTCCGGTAAGGTTTTGGCGTCCGTTTCTTCCACTTCCGTAAACCATTCGTCTTTTGTAAAAAAAGGTGGCATGTCGTTTATGTCTTGTACAATAATGCTGGCTGTTCCTGTGCCTTTCAACCCGCCGCCATCTATCGCGACCACCTGTATGGAATAGTCCGGAGTACGCTCGCGATCTAAACAGCATACAGCAGTTCTCAAAACTCCTGTTTCCGATCCGATTTTAAATATTGGTGTACCGGAGTCTTCTTCTATAACATTTTTCTCAATAGAGTAAATCAGTTTGGCGTTAACACCTGAAAAAAAATATATATATATATATTTTGAATACACTTATGATAAATTACCGTCTAAGGGATCGTCATAATCGACTGCAGCCATTGTCATAATCATTATATCATCTGTGCCATTTTCGGTAACACTTCCAAAGTACACCCCTTGTGGAAAAATAGGCGCATTATCATTGATATCCTTGAGATTTACCTGGACGTCTGCATATCCCACTAGTCCCTCACCTCCCTCATCTTGGGCAAAAACTGTAAATCGCCATTGTGGTCTACCGTTGGGCTGATCCCTATCTAAAGGCTAAAAAAATTAAAAAGCGGTCACAAATTAGTTTTTTTTATTTATCTACTGGTAGGTTCAAATAGGTATGATTGAATATACAGTGTTAGGTTGCAAGCTGGGGCAAACCTAATTTATTAATAAATACACAAAAAGATGGCTGAGGTACTCCAATAACCAAAATCGAGCAAATGGAGCTTCGATTTTAGGGGGTCCGACTAACTCCTGTTTTACTTCCCTGCAGTCAAACGAAAGCTACCGATTATAAACTTAAAACAGGAAACACTCAATCCTAATTGGAAGCACTGCATAAACCTAAATGAGCATCACGAAATAAAATAAAATGAAAACGCTCAAAATTCACTCTGGTGCATGATTTTTATTTGCCAAAAGAATTATTTATTGTTAAATGGCAGCCAACAGCTGATAAGCACCAAATTTGAATTGTTTATTTAATAGCTTTTGAAAATAATAAAGAATCTATCAGTAAACTTAAATTACTGTGATAGAATTGGCCATAATTACAACACATAACCAATATAAAAACTAAAATTAATAAGTACCTACTACTAAGTTAAAGTAGTTAGGTGAATTAAATGTGTAATCTACAATATTCTAACTAAAAGGGTGGTATTTGAAGTGTCCAAACCTTACCTTACATTCTGGTTCATTATGATGATCAAAAGTTATAATTAATTTCCTAATTACATTCATTGAGTTCAAATAAGTGAAGGGTGATAATTAAGTACGGTTCACGCCCCTCGAATCAATACCAAAATACTAAAAAAACCGTCGTAAATGGATCCATTTTAACCTGGTGTACAGTTAGACCTATGTGTTTACACTAATTCGGGCTACTTGGAATGTTCCAGGAAATCAAAATAATATCGTAAGTAAACGTAAAATTAACTTAACTTAAACCTCAAGGATTATAAGGTAATGTTTAAGACAGGTAGAGGTAATTCAGCTGGCTATAATATTGAAGAGTAGGTACAAGTGGTTGCAGGTAAAAGGCTCCAGCTCCGAAGGAGATGGTGAAACCCTTAATACAGACGGGGTGGATGGTTCCCAAAACGGCACAACAATACGCAAACCTGATTATGTAGTTATTTGATGGAATGATACTACTAGGAACCTCGTGGGGGACGATTGAAAGTCACAGGCCCCAAAAGCTCCACAAGCAATCTATCAGGTTCAGGATTGAGTATCAGCAATTCAGCAATCAGGTGCCTTTGTGCATCTAACGAGAGCAACAGCAGAAACGGATGTAACGTTACCCAATATAAAAAAAAGGCCTAAAAGAGAGAGTTCACACTATAAAAACTCGATTTCAACAAGAATTGAGGTAAGTACGGCAATCAATTACGTTTTTGAGGACATAAAACTCTAACAGAGATCAGAATACAAAATAAAATGATGAATAATAGGGACTTACCAATGTGGATTGGCCTTTTCGACACTCAACACGTGACACGAATCAAACTTATTCTCGAGAATTTGGGTTTCTACGTACTGAAATTTTCTTAAATTAGCAAATACTTGCTGTGGTCAGGGGCGCCGGGTTTTAGAAAACCTCGTGGGTGCTCCTCAATTTGCTGATGCTCATGCACCGGTATTGGGCGGGGGGAGGGGGTGAACAGCCCGCTGCTGGTGGTGGAAAAATCCTTCCGAGTGCCACGCCCAGAAACATATAAGGCTATGGTCCGGAGATAACCAAACCAACGTTAAACGTTTAGCTCTGTTTCAATAGACATGAGAACCGTTCCAGAACCAATAATTTCCAGTTGCCCACCGATTTTCCAATAAGTTGAACGTTTATCCTACTTGACAAATGAAAAGATCGAGTGGAAATTACGGTTCTGAACGGATTTCATGTCTGTTGGAACAGTACTAAAGTAAGCGAATCGGTTGACCGATGGTTAATGAAAATTCCGTTTACTTGGGGAACGCATCCATCATCCGATTAAACGACAATACGAAATTGTTCCGATTGGTTGAATTTACGGCTTTTTATTGGTGAGAAAGTTCAGAAATTTACATAGCTCGTTAAAATGGTCTTGAGCACTCGATGTACCCCTTCAACAGGGTTGGCTTGAGGATGATAGTTTGCAGTGTATCTCAAATCAATTCCATAATCAGCGAGCATATCGCGGAAGAGTTTACTGCGAAACTGAGGACCATTATCAGCTATAATATTTCGAGGTACCCCGTAAACAAGTATGACGTGATATTTCAACCATTTCACGATACCAGACGCGATAGCGCTACGAAGCGGGAAAAACAGACAGAACTTACTAAAGACATCACACACCGAGAAAATATAAGAAAATCCAGAAGTAGATCGCGGTAGAGGACCAACGATATCCACACTAACAACCTGCCACGGTTTAGTAGCAGTAGGCTGTTGACTCAGCATATGCCCAGCTGGAGCATTTTGGAGGGGTTTAGTCTCAAGGCAGATATGACAGCGCCTGATGAAGCGGGCTTCATTTTTGGCCAATAATACTTGAGACTGATCCGTGAAAGAGTTTTTGACACCCCCAAATGACCACAGGTGGGAGGATCATGATGCGAGCGTATAATTTCGGAACGTTGCTCTCGAGAAATGACTAAACGCCAAGACGAACTCTCACTTGCTAAACCAGGGTATGGTGTAGAATAAGCGCGCTTATAGAGCTTTCCCTTATCGACCCACCACAGAGGAAATTCAGAAGGACGAGTTGATACCTTTTGTTTCATGTCCAGGTACCACTGATCTTTGACTTGAGAAGATAGAGCGTCATCGGGCAACAACTGAGAAGTGTCAACAGCATCGATAATTGGGACAGAACGAGATAAAGTGTCAGGAACGACATTATCCTTACCCTTGCGGTGGATGATTTCAAAATCGTATTGCTGCAAGCGAACGGCCCATCGAGCAATACGACCTACCGGATCCTTGATGGAATTGAGCCACTCAAGGCAATAGTGGTCAGTGATCACGGTGAATCTAGTACCCTCAAAGTAGGGACGCAATTCATCGATTGCAAAGAGAACGGCAAAACACTCCTTCTCGGTCGTTGTGTACTTTCGCATATCACATGCTCAGCATCGTCATGTATCTGAATAAGCACAGAAAACGCATTTGTCCTTATTTAGAGTTAGTCCAGCGCGAGTCAACCGATTGATGACCTCACGTAAGACCTTAATATGTTCTTCGAATGTACTTGTACATATTATTACGTCATCAAGGTAGACGAAGACTGAGGATTCTATCTCAACAACAATAACACGATCGATCAGCCGCTGCCACACAGCTGGCGCGTTAGTTAAGCCAAATGGCATACGCCTAAATTGAAATAAACCGCGTGACGGAACAGTAAAAGCGGTCAGAGGTTTTGATTCCTCAGAAATTGGAATCTGCCAGTACGCTGACTTAATCTCCAACGTGCTAAGAAAACGAGCATCTCTCAATTTGTCAAGCGTAGCTGAGACATAAGGTATGGGATAGGAGTCGGGAACCGTTACACGATTAAGTGCCCGATAATCCAAACAAAAGTGCCATCGACCACATTTTTTCTTGATCATCACGATCGGAGAAGACCAAGGCGAGTTAGAAGGCTCAACAATACCATCCGCTAGCATCTTCTCTAGTTCTGAGTTAACTTCAGTCTGAAGAGCACGGGAAAGGGGATAGTATCGCTGCTTGATCGGGGAAGAGTTCGTCTTGATATTAAGCTCGACCAAATTAGTGCAACCAATTCCTTGACCGATCTTGGAAAATGTGGTTTCGATCAGCTCATCCAGAATACGCTGCTGATCGGTTGCGAGGCTACTCCGACTCTGAATAGCCGACACTTGAGAAAAAAATCCTGGTCATGACGACCATTACGAAAATGCCATTCGCCAGCATGGAGGTCTGGCACTATACCATGCGACTCCAAAAATCTATGCCTAAGATGAGAGAATGCGGCAATGTCGGAACGACAAGTACATCAATAAGAACAAGGCGATCTCGCAACTGAAAGGGAACTCGAACCGAACCGATAACATCACACGTATCTCCATTAGCAACAGTGCACTGCGATTGTTGAGGATTGAGTTTGCATAAAGACTGCAGAGCTTTCCAACCTCTATCACCAATGATGGTTCTAGAAGCACCACTGTCTAATAACCCAAGAAGTGATAGACCAAAAACACGGACTGTCAAGTAGGGGCGTTCATCATCTTTGGCATGAGAAAGGACATAGTCCAACAAAATCTGAGATCGAAGGGTGGCCTCATTGGTTGTTACTGGAAGGCAAGACGCTCGGCCCAAGTTTTTTGAACAATGCGGGCAGGATCTGGATGTAACATCACTTTTACCGCATCGGTAGCAGAAACGGTTACAAGGCTGTTCACATTGGTTAAATCAGTGACCTGGCCTGTCACAATTCCAACAAGAAGCCCGTTTTGTTGAATCTGATACGGCGTCAACCTTAGCAAAATCATCAGATGGAAGAATCACTGGAACAGAAACAAGGTTCGTAGTCTCTATGGCATTGACGCTATAACTGGGCTTATGGTATGCTAATTCTGGTTCAATTAAGTGTCTATAGTTCGTTGGAGGTGGAACAAATCTTTGAATGCGAGACTCTGTCTCTTCTATAGCTCGAGCAAGGGGAGTTAATTCCTGGATAGATGCAAAATTTTGAGTGGCCAAACGAGATTGAAGGTAGGGTAACAAATTACGACGCACTTACTGGAGTTTAGTTGACTCAGAAGGAATTTGAGGCAATTTGCGGAATAAATTTTCCATGGCGACAACAAAACTCATGACTTTCTCCTGAGATCCCTGAGTTCTACGCCGAATCTCATCCCAGAGCAAAAACTCGTAGTCATATGGCATAAAGGCATCACGGAGTTGAGCGACCAAGTCATCCCAACTACTAAAAACACCAGTTCGATACCAAAGAAGCGCATCTTTTGTAAGGAGTTCTGGAGCAGAGCGAAGTAATTGTTCTTTGGAAACTCCTCGAGAAAAACGCATTTCTTCAACTCTT